GGCTTCGGGTAAAGGAGACTGTTCAGAGCTGCTGCCAGGCGTTTCTGATGAGTTCCTGCCTCCAACCCTCTGCTTGCGGGGGTGCTTCCAGAACGTGTGTTTCCCCAGTCACTGCCCAGCAGGCCCTTTCTCCCTCCGGTCCTTTAAAAGCAGTCTGTTGCCTCTGGTACTGTGACATGCTCCCTGATGTAAATGTGGACACTTCACAGGACAGAGGCACCATCCATGTGGACTGAGACCAAGCTGTGCCCCAGATGCCCCATCGTTGTCTGTGTGAGTGGCTCTTTCCGGGCACAGACCTGCCTTAGACCTTCCACGTGTGCTTTTTAGTGGTTCAGTGGGTCAGTAGCTCAACTCCCTTGTGAGAGTTTAAGCTCTTAGATGGATGGGAAATTGCTTATATTTGTGTTTAACATAGGGCCTTGTCTGAAATAAGTAATTTATAAATATTTGTGAAGCAGTTGGCTGAAAAACGATGTTTTAGCTAACACTTTACAAAACACGAACGTGTCAAATGAAATGTTAAGAATGTTTCTACCTGCCAAAGAAAAAGATATATCTTTTATTAAGTGTCTCTGTTGTAACATTTGTGGTGACAGGTGTTTGTCCATGGAGGTAGGGTGGTGGTCTTCAAACTATAGGCTGGTCCTGAGAGTAAGAAAATAAAACATAAAACTAGAAATAGGATAGAAAGCGTTAGAGTGCACCTTATTTAGTCAGGGTGTGCAGTGTTTCCTGAAAGGTTTTTCATAAGTTAAATCTATGATGGTGCCCCAAACAGAGTGAGATACAAAGATGGGTGATACCCCATGTCACCCCTGAGGGTACAAAGCCAGATGTTCTAATTGTCCACCGTCCACAGCTAGCATGGAGCAGTGTTCTTTCAAAGTTAGACCAACTCAGATAACTTCCGTGTAACCAATGGGCTAGACTATTTCCCTAAACAACTGTATTCATTTCTCTGTGTTTCTTTCTGATGTTTATTCAGATTCATAGTTTTACAAGGTTATATTCATAATCACCATATGATTGTATTGATAATAACTACATTAATAATATGATTAGATTTCATATCCATTTTTGTCATATCCATTTATTCATGTTGCCACAGTGTTCACATTATTCTTTATTAAAAGTTTGTTTTCTGTTTTTTAAATTTCATGAGGTTAACATGAGGGAATGTATGATTAGGTTATATTATTTGTGTTTGTAAGGTAGAATCCAAAGTCCTTGTTGGAATTGAGTCTTTCACCCAGAAAGTGTGCCATATACCCCTACATTGTACCTGGTAGGTGGGAACTTCCCCAATCCCCTTTCCTTCTCCCCCGTCTCGGATTTAATTGTGTTTTCCTCTTATGTGAATCTCTAAAAAATTTCTTCAGTTAGAAGCAGGATCTTGCTATGTTGCCCACGTCGGACTTACACTATTAGGGGTCAAGTGATCCTCCTGCCTCAGCTTCTGGAGTAGCTGGGACTGCGGGCACCCACCATGTACCTAGTGGATTTTGCTTTTTTTATGATAGTATTTAAAGGTGCGATTTGCAAAATCAATTTTCTATTATTAAACATCTAGGTTGCTTTCAATATTTTAATATTTTAAATGGACTACAAATAGTTCCTTTGTGAGCAAACTCTTCCTTTTTCACTTTCTTTTTAATAATGTACTTAGGATAATTCCCCTCAATGGTGTTGAGGGATTGAAAATGTAAACATGCTTGTATTAGTTTCCAAGGGCTACTGCAACCAAAATTCTACCATGTGAGTGGCTTAAAACAATAGAAAAAAAGCAACAGTTGTGGAGGACAGGAGTTAGAACTTCAGTTTTTGAAAGGTTTAGTTCTTTCTGGAAGCTGTGAGGAAGAATCTGTGTCATACCTCGTTCCTGCTTCTGGTGGTTTCAAGCAATTACTAGCATCTGTTGGCTTGTAGACACATCACTCCAGTCTCTGTCTTCACATGGCATTCTTTTTGTGTATCTGTATCTCTGTATCCACATTTCCCTTTTTTATGATACTGCTCTTAGGTATCATTAGGGCCCACCCAGATCCAGTATGACCTCATCTTAACTCGATACATCTGCAAAGGCCCTATTTCCAAAGACGATCTCATTCACAGGTTCTGTATGGACATGAATTAATTAATTTATTTTGAGACAGACTCTCACTCCATCACCCTGGGTAGTGGTGCCTTGACGTCACTGCTCACAGCAACCTCAAACTCCTGGGCCCAAGTGATTCTCTTGCCTCAGCCTCCCAAGTAGCTGGGACTTACAGGCCTCCCACCACAATGCCGGCTATTTTTTTGTTGTCACTGTTGTTTGGCAGGCCAGGGCCAGGTTCAAGCCGTCCAGTCCCAGTGTATGTTGCCTGTGCCCCAACTGCTGAGCTTTAGTCACTGAGCCAAGTATGAACATGAATTTGGGGGGGGGGAACTATAGTATAATACAATAATATAATATAATACAATAATATAATACAACCCAGTATAATACAATAAACCCTCCATAGTTGATCATCTCCCCACATTGACTACCTCCTTAAGTTGACCTAATTTTCATGGACTGGACCTATAAGACCTAGTTTCTTATGTCAATCACCTCTGTATGTTGACCAGTTTGTTACAGTCCCATGGGTGGTCCACTTACAGAAGTTCTACTATGTGTTGTCTCCCCATTCATTTTTTTAAGTATTGTGTTACAGAAATCTTCAAACATATCTAAAAATAGGCAGATTACTATTGTAAATGCCCATATACTCGTCAGGCCTTTCATCATAGTGAATGGAAGAAGAACACAAAAATAGTTCCCTGCATTCTTAAATTTCAAAGCTGAGGTTTTTAATTCTTTTAAAGTAAACTTTTAGCCCTTTTCATTTTCCAATTTCTATTAAGTGGAATCTTGCAGGTGGTTGAGCAGTTTTTCTTTTTCTTCTTGGTGGTGAAAACCTCCTCCCCGTTTTCTAGGCTGTGCTGTGTTACAGGTCAGCCCAGGGGCCAAGACACCTACTTACGATGATACAGTGAAAGAGACCTGCAAATGTGACTTTGAAGACTTTGTTATTTTAGGTAAGATTTGTCAGCTTGTTGGAGATGACAGGCTGCCTCCCTCTTCCCTCTGCACATAGGTGCTAACAAGCCTCACCTACAATACCAGGCTGGAGTGGCGTTCACAGAAATTTCTCCCAGAACCAGATTACAGTCCCCAATATAAGAAAATAAGATGTTCTTGTTTCAAATATCTTGATAATTAATCTCTCCTGTCACTGATAGAATTGAATGGAAAAGTAAATACTCATTATGGTCTAATCTCTCCTTGGCCTGTCAAGTATATTTTGGTGAAACTTTCAGATGAACTTCTATCTTTGGTTAGAAGATAAGCCC